CAGTCTCCCATCCTGCTCCTACCCACACTCCTCTCTGTTAAGGGCACCGCTAGAGTTTTTTGTCACCCTGGCTCCAAACCCTACAGATATTATTAATTCTTCCCTTCCCTAGAGCTCTCCTACCCATTCACATGCCACACCCTGCCTATCCCAGTTATAGCTTTCACATTGGCTTATTTTTCACATGGACTTTCGACCCTGTTACCAATTGCATGCATAATTACAAAATCTACTAATCGGTTCCTTTTCCTATAGCCTCTCTGTATACTTCCCATTCCCCACTACTACACTCTACCCAACATGAGATTTGATTTCCTAACATGCATCTTCAACATGCCATTCCTCTAGTAAAATCATTTCACAGAGATCCATTTATGTAGGATAGAGTTCAGCCTCCTTAGATTAGCAGTCAAGAGTCTTGAGGTGCTAAAGCCTGCTCACTTTTCAAACTTTATTAGGTTAGATATTCTCTTTTTGGAACCTTAGATCCACAAGGTACAGAGATAATGTCTTTGTATCAACTGGAACCTAAGTGACATAGTGCCATGAGCTTAATAGCTGCCTTATAAATATTTGTAGGCTAGATATGTAAAGAGAAATACTATGATCAACTCTTCATAATCTAATTAACACATGATCAAAACATTTTAATATCATTGACAAGATATATAAAAATATTGATATATGGAATTAAATAATATGTAGCAGATATTTAAAACAATCTGGTTTGGCTAACTTGGCCTGGTTTTGCATATAAGTTACCATCCTTCCTATTATTTCTAATCAAACGCAAAATAGGTCAAAGTTTGATTGACTAAAGGCTGTCTGTTTGTTGTGGCTTCAGGTCCCGGTGAAGTAGGTGGAACTGGTATTAGATGTCACACTAGTAACAAAGTGATCTGCATGCTAAAGAGCCAGGTTTCTCAGGGAAGTCTTATTTTGAAGACTACAATTATTTTTCGGAAGCATGAGTTCATTCCCCCGGTATTTTTGGAATCTAAGAAGCAAAAAAGAAAAGAACCTAAAACAAAATCACATCTTTCAAGAACCAGTAACTTGAATGTGTGTATAATGATACAAATCTTGCAATGTTTGTTGTCTTCATACATATCTCCTCATTCATTCTTCACAACAGCCCTGCGAGGAGGTCCGCTATGAATCTCTACATATTATTTACGAGGGAGCTGAAGCTAAGAGAATTTGTTATTGCCTTAGATAAGCTGACCCAAGTAGTGACCTTTCTAATGAAATATCCACTATTAGGCAGTATGATAAAAGTTGTTGAAGAAGAAGGAGGAGGAGGAGGAGGAGAAGGAGAGAAGAGGAGAAGAGGAAAAGAAGAGAAGAGGAGAAGAGAAGGAAGAAGAAGAGGAAGGCTTCTATCTTTCAACACCAGGCCATATTTCAGGCAGAAAGCCGAAGAATACATGAAGTAAATAGCAATCCGGATCTTGTGCTTGCACAGGATTTTAAAATTCTCCAGGTTCACACACTTTAGCCATTTGACCTTGATCATGCCTGTCTGAGGCAGGCAGAACATATTTACCCCAATCAACTGAAGAGATGACCATTTTAAAGTCCGTTATCCATTGCCAAACCAAAATTAGAACCTAGGTCACCCAACTATGTCTTAAGCTATGATCAACATAGCTTATAGCATTTACAGTGTGCAGCTTAAACTGTGTGGCAGTCTAATCAATTCACAAAAGTTATTCTCCCTTAATTTTTAAGAAGATGTAGTCAGTATTTGCTGAAAGCAATGATCCTGGCTTGGCCAGCTTGCCCTGGTTTTACATATAAATCACTCCACTCCACCCATTCTTCCTACTACGTCTAATTACCAAAAAGGTAAAAGTTTGATTGAGTAAAGTCTTCTCTTTTGCTGTGGCTCAAAGTTCTTGTGAAAGAACCTCATCCAGGTGAGGTAAGTAGAACTGGTGTTGGGTGTCACACTGACAACAAAGTGATACACCTGCTAAAAAGCAAAGAGGCTTCTCTGGGGAGTTGCCACAGGTTTCAGGGGAATGACAATTAAAAGGTAGATGGATCATGTCATGCCTGCTGCTAACTTTACAATACATGAGGATCACTATTTTAATGTTAATTTGCCTAGTGTTTATCCTAGCAAGAACAATGATGACTGCTAATAGCTGCAGGATACAATAAAATTAAACATTATCTGAGCTGAACTGCTAAAGGAAACGTCGCCGAAGTGTTACTGTCAGTACTTAATTTCGTCCCAGGTCATATCCACAGATAATCAAATGTAGACTTTGAATATCTCTTGAAAAACTGGCAAGCAATGATTGAAATGAAATGGCAGCATCCTCCTTTACATAGAATCCCTACCTGGTAGTCTTTGCTTTTTTACATAACTTGCCTATACTCTCTGAGGCATTTGGATTTGCAACTACCTCCACTCCTTCTTCAAACAAATCCCCATCCTCCTCCCCATGTTTGCTGGCAGATGCACCAAATTTGATAAACCTAGCAAGAATACATCTCACTCTCTGGACAAAAAGGTTTTGAATGGACCTTTGAAAAAGGTGCAATCAACCATGGCTAGCAGTAAGTGATATTTTCAAGGCAAACAGACACTGTCACCTCAAAGTATTAAATAACCCTGCATTCTGAGTCGCAGGTGGAAGGTAGCCATGGGCAAAGATAATAAAAAGAAATAAGTCATCTATATTTAGATTGATTATTTCTGACTATTGCTATTCCCTGGAAAATGGATAGGTATTGTCATCCTGTACTTTGTACCCCAAGTCAGTCTTCAGAGACTAATTACTTGTGGACTTCTCTCTCCCAAGCGTTTGAACACATTTCCACCACAAGAGGGCAGCCATCTCTAAAAAACAACCGGAGAGCCTAGATCTTGCGAGAAAAGGCCAAAATTTAGGAAAGCTGTGCTTGGGAAAGGCACAGCTTTCGGTAAGTCCCTCAGAAATCGCACACCCTCTATAAAACAGATCCGTTTTTTTTAAAAAATGATCTCTTTTGTAAAACAACACTGACACGGAATAGAGTGTTCAGAAGTGCTCATTTTCCCTCCGATTCTTGACTTTCACCGATTATTTCACAAACTGACAAGGTTTACACTTCTCAAGTTAGGAGGCCTAGAGCTGCAAGACATCCTTGATGTCATCACAGAAGATTTATTTTTCACCTTTTCTTGAGGTGCGTCCAACAATTGTCAACCTTTCCTCCTCTTTAAAAGCTACATACCCATACCGATTTAAATCTCATAGAGTCTTGTTTTGTTTTGTTTTTTAAATCTCACTAATGACAGAAACAATTGTTAACTTCTCAGTTCAGCCTGATAGGGAAGGAAATAGTTTCAGAAGCACAGTAAACACTTTTTTACTTAAGTGTCTGAGTAGAATATGTTTTATTGCCTACTTGTTTGGTGTCCAATGATTCAGAATGACAATCAACTTCCATATCAATTTTTATTTTTTTTGGGGGGGGGATAAAATAGCATGTTCCTGAATATTTTGCCCCCCTCTCTTATTTTCCTGGTAGGCAGGCTTTCTCCAAAATACCTTATTTGACCTTTATACCTTTAGAAACAGCAAGTGCCTAATTCCCCTCTGTGGGTTGTTAATCCGATTTACGTGAGCGGAACCTAGAATTATTTTAGCTCCCCAACCGAAAAAAAATAATACACATGGATAATAGATTATTACCAGCTCCAGCCTCTAACTTTTTTCTGTCTCTGTTTTGCAGGCCCAAAAGCTCTGGTGCAGGAAAACCTAATTTTGCCAGTCTGGCCTTTTCCATAAAATTTCCGCCCTGGGTTTTGGAGACCATCTAGGCAACCTGGTGGTGCTACGCATGCGTGGAGGCTCCGGGAATCCTGGTAGGGACAGAAAGCCTTGGCCTCAGACCCATGGTGCAGCAGGTTTGAGGAATATTTCAGCTGAAGAAGACAAGTGACTTGGGCATGTGTCACAGCCCTGCTTCTGGGGGCTTGGTGGAGAAGGGTGGAGCAGAAAGTTCTAAGGTCCAAGGGGGAATTGTCTTGTATGCTTGGCTCACATTGTGCATTATTTTACTTTCCTCTGAGCTGCTAATCGCCTGCCTCTGAGCTGGGTGAGATAAATATCACAAGGCACAAAGTGATTGCTACCATAAAAAGAAATAAAATCTCCCCTATCCTCTCCTAAGGCTGCCTCACACACACACACACACACACACACACACACACACACACACGCAGGGTCCGTTACACATATGTGATGCATAGCACTATGACATCCATATCACATATATAGACATATATTTATAGAAATGTGTGCCTTCCTTTAGGTATATCTACATATATAAATATATTTATAGAAACACATATTTTTGCATATTAGATATATTTATATGAATATAAATACACGCACATGGATATGAATTTAAATGCACACGTACATTTATATAAAGGCAAATTGTACACATGAACTTGCATATGTAAATACATATATCTCTGTGTGTTAATGTTTAAGTAACACTCAGTTTCCGGCCTCCTGTTTTCTTTTAATTTTCCTCCCATGCTGGGGAAATACAGAAGTGCCTACCCCAAGCCTAGGCCAAGATGCCCTGTAACTTGGTTGAGTTCTTTTTTTTTTTTCCTTTTAATTGTCTATTACCGAAAAACTTAAAACTGAAAGTTGAATAACGGGCCCAGTGGGGAAATAGAGGCCCGACCCTACATTTGTCCTGGATTTCGCCCCCAGGTTCCCCGCGAGGGTCTGGCGCTCTGCGGATCCCCCTTTGAGGGCAGGGGTGGAGGCACGAGCGCCCCCCTTGGCGGCCGCGCGCCCCCGCCCTCGGCCCCACCCGCCGCGGCCGCCCGGGCGCGCCGTCCACACCCCTGCGCGCCGCTCCCGCCCGCTCGGGGATCCCCGGCGAGCCGCGCCACCGAGGGGGAGGTGTTCGCCGCGCCCGGGAGGGAACGGGGCAGGCGGCGTCCCCTTTAAAAGCCGCGAGCGCCGCGCCACGGCGCCGTCGCCGCCGTCGCCGCCAGAGTCCTCGCCCCGCCGCGCCGCGCTGCGCCCGGCTCGCGCTGCGCCCGCCGCTCCGCTTCCCACACCCCGCCGGGGATTGGCAGCCACCGCCGGACATCAGCCGCCACAGCCTGCGCCGGCGACCCGAACGCACTCGAGGCGAGCGCCGCGCACACTACCGGGGCTGTGAGGCGCTCGCGCACCGCAGACCCCGCGCGGACTGGAGCACCCAGCCGTGCGCGCCACAGCGCGGTGGCCTCGGCTGCCCGGGCCGCCCCGGAGTCGCGGACCGACGCGCGGAGCGCCGGGGAGTCCGGAGCCGAGCCCCAGCGCCGGGATGCCGAGCACCTCCTGCCGGGGATCGGGGGCCTGGGACGCGCCGGCCGGTGTGTGATCGGACTCCAGGCTGGCCACAAAAGGCACTTGGACCCTGGGCTAGCAGAGCGAGGGGACAGCGCGGCCACTCGCCCCAGCGGCCCGGGACTCGGCTCGACTGGCCGGGGAATGCGCCCGAGGACGGCGGGGCGCTAGAGCCGCGGCGGTTTCAGCGGGCGAGCGCTAATGGGGGTGCGCTGGAGTAAGGCAGAGTGATGCGGGGGGGCAACTCGCCTGGCACCGAGATCGCCGCCGTGCCCTTCCCCGGACCCGGCGTCGCCCAGGATGGCTGCCCCGAGCCATGGACCTCGGCGGAGCTAGCGCGGAGCGCCCGACCCTCGCCTCCCGAGTCCCGGAGCCGGCTCCGCGCGGGGCCACGCGTCCCGCGGGCGCTGGTTCCTAAGGACGACGACAGCACCAGCTTTTCCTTTCTCCCTTCTCTTCCCTTCCCTGCCCCGCACTCCTCCCCCTGCTCGCTGTTGTGTGTCAGCACTTGGCTGGAGACTTCTTGAACTTGCAAGGAGAGTAGCTTGCGCTCCCCACTTCGTGCCGGTGTCTTGGCCCCAGCGGAGTCAGCCTCGCCGCCTCCCAGCCCGCCGCCCCTCCGCTGCTCGGCCTTGCCCGGCCCCGGGACGCCGTGCCCGGCGTGAAGAGAGGGACTACGCGGCCAGCACCCGGGAGAAGCAGGAGGCAAAGAAAGGGAACGGACACACGGTCCTTGCGCCAGGTCCTTGGGCCAGAGCTTTTTCCATGTGGAGACTCTTTCAATGGACGTGTCCCTGCGTGCTTCTTAGACGGACCGCGGTCTCCTAAAGGTAGAGGACGCGGGGCTGGGGGCTGGGGGGTGGGGTGGGCACGGGGCCGCGGTCGCAGAAGCGACAGAGCCCTTCTTGGGCCCTGCCAGGCCTGAGGTAAACAGACGTCCCCCCTCCAGGTCCACGTGCAGCCGAGCCCCTGCGGGGGTGACCCCATCCCGCCGCCCCCCTGGCGTGCACTCTTCCACCCATTCTCCTCCCCTCTGGTCCGCACGCACTTTGGGCTGATAACACTTAGATGATTAAGGAAAATAAATAAATGCTTTGGAGAGGGTGGCCCCTAGATTTCACCCGTTAGCTGCCAACCTGTCGGCGCTGCCATGGTGAGTCCTTCTCCTTTCTCCAGGTGTTTCCGGGAGGGAGACCTGCTTTCTCCACGCAGTCAAGTCCCATTTCGGAAAGTGCTGGAAGTTGGGGTTCTCCCTGCTAGTTTCCAGAAATGTGCGGAGTCAGTACTTAAGTGCCACTTTGTACTGTTTTTAGCAGCTGACACGTGCATGAATAGATTTCAGCCTTTTACGTAATCTCAGGAAGGTCCATGTGTATCTTGACTGCACTAGGGTGGTGCGGGGATGGAGTGTCCTGTCCTGACCCCGCTGAGGTTAGGGGCGTGGACCCCAAGTTACAAGTGGCTTCACAAGTTGTGGTCTTGAGTTTACAGGGTCTGGAAGTTATAGAGTCGTGCGTGTGTGCGTGTGTGTGTGCGTGCGTGTGTGTGTGTGTGTGTTTGATGTATCAGGAAGTTCTATACATGCCTCTAAGGAAGTCACATGTGCCATTTGTGCATGTTTATATGACAGTGAGCGCTGGGTGTTTGGGTGTGTATAGGGGACACAGGGTGTCAGACCAAGCGGTGGTTTCCCCACGTTCCCTGCATTGACTGTCAGCGCTGGTGTCCCAGAAAAAAAGGTGACAGTCATTGACGCTGGTTTGGGCGGGGGTGGGGAGGTGCTCGCAAAACCCCAAATCAGATGTCAGACCAGTTGAGAGTGGGATGAGAGGGAGAAACCCTTCTGGCTCAGGAACTTGGGACCCTTCATTCTCTCCAACATTCGAGCTTCCGTCGCTCTTAAGTAGCCCCGCGAGTGTTGCAAGCCAGGAGGGCACCCTGGAGGAGGAGGCAAGGGAGCCAAACGGGAGCCCGGACCGCGGGGGAGGGAGGGGATAGGCCTGGGCCGGGAACTCAGGTGACTCACGTCGGCCCTGTCCGCAGGTCGACCATGGTGGCCGGGACCCGCTGTCTTCTAGCGTTGCTGCTTCCCCAGGTCCTCCTGGGCGGCGCGGCCGGCCTCATTCCGGAGCTGGGCCGCAGGAAGTTCGCGGCGTCGTCGGGCCGCCCCTCATCCCAGCCCTCGGACGACGTCCTGAGCGAGTTCGAGTTGCGGCTGCTCAGCATGTTCGGCCTGAAACAGAGACCCACCCCCAGCAGGGACGCCGTGGTGCCCCCCTACATGCTGGACTTATACCGCCGGCACTCGGGCCAGCCCGGCGCGCCCGCCCCGGACCACCGGCTGGAGAGGGCAGCCAGCCGCGCCAACACGGTGCGCAGCTTCCACCACGAAGGTGAGGCGTGGAGCCGGGAGTGGGAGCGAGGACCGGGGCGGGGAGTCACCGCGCACAGCCCCCCCGCGGTGGGCAGACGTTAAGCATTCCCCAGGAAGCAGCTTGGCCAGGGCACCGCAGACGTTGCCATGCCTGCTTCTGTACCGTCATTTCTGAATCTGGTTTTCACGTACTGCTTGTGTGGCGGGGGAGCCAGGGATTCAGGGATTCCCTTTAGTAAATCCGCACCCTTTTCCTGGCTTGCAGCCAGAAGAGCTACTCCTCCTCCAGGAACTGGAGAGAAATCAAATGATGGGGAAGATGAGGGCAAAAGGCATGCCCCTAGACATCTGAACGTGCAAGAGTGCCATAGGAGCAGAAGAAGAAGGGAGGTGGATTGGGATTTCTTTAAGTCTGTTTAGAAGCCCTTGCTCTATAAATCTGCTGTTTAAGCTGGGGTTTCAGCCTACACAGAGCCAAGGGCAGAAATTTCAGAGATAGCACTGAAAAATCAAAGCCCAGGGCCCCAATGTCTTTCTAATTTACAGTTGATCTGGGCCTGGTTTGGAAGATTTTGAATCCCAATCTAATCCCCGTGGGAGATCAATTCCACAATCAATCTTATTGTTTCCACAATGACTTTCTTGTCTTGTGCTTAAATCTGAGATAGGCTCTGAGCAGAGACAAGGCAAGCCTTTAGATAAAAGCTTTTGCAGCAGCTGCCTGTTTTCCTTCATGTGCAATGAAATGTGGATTTTCTTTTTCTTTCATGATACATGTGGTTTTTCTAAGGTAGGATATTTCTGCTGGTTTCATCTGAAGGGCATTTAGTGGGCTTGAAATATCTTAGAGCAGCTATTGAAATCTTCTGTACCCAAGTTCCTAGAGCAATTAGTCAAAAATATGTTCCACCTCAATTCTTTTTCTACACTTTTAAGTGCTCCTTTGGCATAATCCATTCTAAAGAGAGCATGGCTTCCTTCAAGTTCTAGAAAAGAGTAGAAAGTTGTATGTCATAGAGCAGCCACTTGTAGGATATTGAAGTGTTAGGAGTGAAGTTCCCTTTTTCTTGCCTTGCCTTGCTGAGGTGCTAAATTTCAAGTGGAAATCTACACTGATATAAACAAATCAGAAATGGCACAGCCAGGAGTTTTCTCCCAGGGTGAAGGATGACTTACTTGTACTTCTGAGAACACAGGTTGATATAAAGGGAAGACCCCCAGAGGCAAGTCACATAACAAAGTAGCCTTCTTCATCACTGAGGCAGCTGTACATTATAGAGGGCACACTAAATTGAATCAGTTCATTCTCAAGCACATTTCTAAGTGCAGTGCCCTCTGCTAGCAGAAATCAGAGATTTAAAAGACAGTAAAATCTCATTCTCCCCCTTCAGAATTCATCCACTGCAAGCAGAAGTTGTCTGTATGGTCATATGTGGAGACGAAACGTTTTCATTTGTGTACATTCTGTCATGATAACCCTGGATGACATTCCCAGCTGATGCTGATTAGAATAGTTTTCTGGATCGAAAAGTAACAAGAACAGCTGTTTCAGCCACCTCTGCTGGAAATGTAGCATAGAAACCATTCTTAACTTTATTTTTAAGCCCAGGAAGATGCTATGTCTCTTTCTCATAGCTTAAAAGGGTGATCTTTGAAATGTTAATACCTGAAACATTCAATTGTGTGAGGATTTCATCAGTGAAATCTTCATATTTCTCATTCTTTTAGAAGTGGCTTGATCAAAACTAAACAGGCTATACATTAGTTGAGTGTGTTATTTTAACTTGAGTTTAGAAGTCAGGATTTAGGTCTTTTAAAGTGTAAATGTTACATGTAGAAGTACAGACGTTACCAACTTAACTTACAATATCTTAGATCTTAATGCAATTAGATGATAGAGAAAAGCTATGTAATTTTTGCTCTAGACTTCAACAGATACATATCTTGTTATAACTAGCATATCATCATTGGGCTGGATATAGCACTTTTTAAAGACTATTCATTGTTGCGTAACCCAGGATTTGATTTTCATAAACATCTTTGGTGTTTGTACCATGCATGCCACTAAAAAAACATTTAATAAACCATGCAATTAAGACTGCTGGCTCAAGTGTAGAATTTGGTTTATATAGTATTAATGGGCATTTATTTGGCAAAGGACCAAAAGGACCTGATTTATAAGAATTACTTTTTCTTTTTTTTTTTTTAATGGATGAGATCAGATGGTTTGGTGGTGGAATTACAAGACAAGAGAGATCATGATGGACATCTTTCAACCAACATGAATATAATGGAACCATATGATAAGAGATATGAGACAAAAATATCAGTTGTTATTCCTCCTATTAAACTTTGTCTAGTCCTTTCTATAAAGGCTTTTATTTGGGAGAGTGTAAGTTTTGCTAAAATGTTCTTTTTTCAAAATTATTAAAAAGTGCTTCAACCACATAGGCCTTTGAAAACTGCCATTGAAGATAGAAAAATCACTTCTCCAGCTGGAAAGAGTGTTTTATGCTTTGCTGCAGTTAGAAACGCATTGAAACTGGTTGACTTCATTGGCCAACTTCATTGCCAAAAGTCTTCATGCTTTTCTGTCAGATTGTAGACAGAATATAGAAGAATATAAAAGGACCAGGAACTTATTCTTCTGACTCTGAAGGACGCAGTCTTCTTTTTGCATGAAATAATTGAATTATTTGCCTCTGTGACGAAAGCTTTCAAACTGAGATTAACCCTCATTGCACAAATATAATTATCATGAAAATATCCATATAACAGGAAAGTTCAAACAACAACTATTGCTCTATGATGGAGAAATTGTGGCACAAATTAATTCCCAGTATAAACAAATAATTCAGAAACATAGATCCCTCCAATCTAATACTGACCTGGTAGGCTTCCCTAGTGCACCCAGGTATTTCTGTGTGATTACAAAAGGCCCCATTAAGTGGGAAAGTTATTCTATTTGAAAATGCCTGGTGGTATTCCCTTGGCACTGATGTTTTCTGTTCTGCCTTTTTTTTTTTTTAAGTGGTTCCCTTATATCTCTCTTGATCCCTCTGCATTGAGCTATTTTGTCTTTTTAGACTTGCTTTTTGCATATTTCACTGAGCAGTCAGATAGCAGTAAGAGGGCACTCTTTCATTTTGAAGGTATTGGAGCTAAGGGTGGGCAAAGACCAAATTAGGGTTACTGATGACAACTGTGCTTTACCTTTCTTTAGTTGCCATTTCCTTTGTTGTCTTAAAAAAAAAAAAAAGATAAGAAGCTAATTCCGTTTAACCTTTCATATTTTATCTTTTTCCTCCTTGATCAGTTCTCTAAGCATTGTTTTATCTTCTAGAAAATCTTGTGCATCATACTCGGCCCCTTTCATTTTGTTTTAGAGTAGTGATTTCCAGCTTTGCTGATTTGCCAGCATATCCCCAGATTCTGTTGTTTTTATTGTTTTAATGGAAGTTTTTTTGTCCAAAGAGTGTTGCAAAATTCTCAAAGCATAATGATACCTTACCTTTTTGATAAAACTCACCATACTTTATTTAGAACAAAAAGACAGCCACAAAATAGCAGTGGTTTCAAACAAGGTCTCTGTGTCCAAGTGGGGCCATCACTTTATTTTTCTGCTCATTTAGTTCTGTTGCTCACTCCACCATACCTGGGTATACTGTTTCTGTCCCTTTAGCTGGACAAAACTCACCCTAGGTTATCATTATATTAAATAAAAATATGTCCCTAATGGTTTTGACTTTTGCTTGAGTTTTTGACTTATCTGTGTTAGGTAGTGCTGTCTAGTGGCTAGAAACTTGGGAACTGCAGTAGAGTCAAGCTCATAGTTTTGCTCTTCATTTACTGGCTCTGTGACCTTAGGAAACTTATATAACCACTCTGAACCCCAACTCTTTCACTTACAAAATGAAATGGAGATAATGATAGTTCTTCTCTAATTGGTTTGTTGTGAGATAATTTATATAAAGTTGTTACTGCCAGACCTGGCACCAAAAATAAAGCATTCAGCACATTAGCTGTCATTATCATGATAACTTCTTTTGTTAATGGTATTTTCTCCCCTTCTTTAGGGAAGGGAAGGCCAGAGTGGGTCTAGGCTGGCTGAAAGAATTCAGCTCAGTCCTTTGGATGACTTCAAGTTGGATAAATAATTGATGTAGTGAAGGTGATTAAATTGGGACTTCACTTCTGGAGGAAAGGGTTGAACATCATTGTTGTCTTATTTTTCTTAATTTTCCAATATTTTTGTAGCTATGGCCTCACCCATTTGGTTAAGAACTTAGAGGCTCACAAACTTAGGTCAAAGATAGGTCAGAATCCTTAAATCCCTTAGCAAGTTCAGCTTATTCAGCAAGGGATATTTACAGAGAATTAACAACTCTATAAGCCTCCAAAAAAGCATATGTTACATACTTAGGTAAGTCCTCTATATTTTCAGCATCCCCAGACTTGCTGTGATAATTTATGGAAGGTTTTTTTCTTTAATTTACTTTATTTCCAGTAGGTGTGGATTTTTTTACCATCAAGAAAAGATTCATACTTCTCCATTGCAGATCAGGGGAAAAGGTAGCACATACATGCCCTAATCTTGGGCAGTTATTTTCCAGGGTTTAGGGGTTCCTGTGAATTTCAGACTTACCCTCTGTGACCTGAGTCTGCATTCAGGGGTGTTATAATAGAGGCTTTTTTATTACGGGTGGAATAAGGGTCTTTCAAGGAGGTGGTTCACTGAGGTGCCATTGGAAAGTCAGAGAAAGGTCTTCCCATTACCTGTTATCATTTAATAGCTAATTTTTTCTCCTTTGTTAAGTCCACTAAGTGATTCTCCTTTACTAAGTCTACTTACCTCCAAGGAGATTTTAACCATATGAAGTTGCTGTTTTCTATGTTTCTGGTTGAATAATGGCAATATTATATGATTCAGTCTTACCTTTTTTTCCCTGAGGCTTATTATTCTATTTTATACCTCTTTCATACTCACCTTCTTCATTTATCTGTCCCTCATACTTACCTTGGAGACTATCTCTTCATTGTCATCCTCTGGCCATATGTTTGTGTGTATATGTGTGTTTATAGCTTCTTTCTTTTTTATTTATGGATTGGTATTCAGGGTATATCTTGCAATTGTGATTTCTCTGGGCACTTTTGTTAATATAGCTAGCCCTGGATAATTTGCCTTTCCCTCCTCTTCTTTGAAAGAAAAGAATGTTCTTAAAAAAAAGATTATTAGTATCAGATAAGTCAGCAGCTCAGGAGCAGATCTGGCTTTGGTATCACTGGGGTCTGGGGCTTCTGAGTTTTACCTTCTCTGCTGAACAATTGCCTTCCACTGAAACATCAGAGGGCTCCTGAATTGCAGAGTGGAAGGGGAAAAAGAAGCTAAATACAATCCTCGATGCTTGTTGGGTACCACTGAGAAGAGCCAGGTTCCAATGGTGAGAGGGTCATTTTAATGATGTACCTGGCCTAAAGTACCATTACTTACAGTACCATTACTTAAAGTACCATAGCTTACAGTAGGGTTTAGAATGTGGACGGATCCTCAAAGATATCCCCAGGAAGTTTGGATTAACAGACATGGGACCACAGAGGACTCATCTGGCCTGGTAGTCTCCATGTCCAGGTAGATGAGCTGCAAACCTTCTGTTCTGGTCACTGGGTAGTCCACCTGTGGCCTCAACTCTTATTCCTTGGCTAATACTAATGGTTCTACTCATTTTTATGTTATTTAACAAAAAGGCACTTTTAAAAATACACTCCTCTGGCCGTCTACACTTGAATGTGAAAAACATTCTTTAAAACCTTGACACTCACAAGTGTGGTCCACCAGCTCTGGAACATCTTTTCCCCGAGGAGCGTGCTAGCAATGCAGTCTCGGGCCCCTTCCCAGACCTACTGAATTGGAATCTACATTCGAAGATTTAAGGTGTTCTAGTTGTTTCCTGTGAAAGTTAAAGTTTGAAAAGTACTGCATTAAAGCATTACTCCGTAATTCGATATAAACTGCCCCTGTTGAACTTGGCGCTTCCACTTAGCTTGCATTAACACCTGTTGCTTTGATGGTGAAGGTTTACACAGGTAGAACCTTTGAGAGAGTGATCTGACATGATCCTCCTTTGCCAAGGTGTCTACATTCTGTGAGCAACTGGCAGCTGTTTGTCTTTAGGGGAAATACACCCATAAAATTAATAAAAATATAGTCTCCTCTTATGATGATGTGAAACTATGGCAAAATAGATTTTGTTAGCACTTGCGTTGGGATTCTGAATGAAGCAGGCAGATTTTTTTTTTTTTGACAGGAAATGATAGGATGTGATAAAGCTAGAAGAAAATAAGTCCACATATCTCAAAATCGAGTGCTATTCACAATCAATTTAAGAATAATGTTGTACCTTTGATGATTTGCAGACTACAAGCATTCAGGGTGCTACATTATATTTTATTGTTCACTTAGAAAACAGTATTTCTTAAAGTTGTAATTCAGTAATCTTAAATCAGACAAAGCATTTATGCATGGCTCATTTGGATGGCTATTTTGAAAAAATGATAATAAACATAGAAGGATTATTCTTTAACAGGATGAGATTGTTTCTTATATTTTGTATGTCATAATGGCATTTTTATGAATTTTTAATACTTTTTTTGCTTTTTAATCTATTCCGCAGCCTATTATTGGGTAGGTGGATGTTTTTAGTGTGTTTTCTTTTTTTGAACATAAAAGAATTACAAGCAGAAGACAGAGTCATTTCTTTTTTCTTGCAAAAGCATCTAAAATGAGATTTTGATTTTTGAGGTCATAAGGAGGTGAGAGAACAGACAACAGTTGGGAAGCTATTTCTCATGAAATTGTTTGGCTTTAATTACTACAGTGTCCTAGTACCACCCATATGTTTCCAAAGAAGTAGATCCCTGTAAATGCCTTTGTCTCTGGACTTTTGAGTAAAATAGTAGGGTGTGCTTTGCAAAATGTCATCGTTGATGTTGAGTTTCAGAGTCTTTAATTAGGAAGCTGAAATCTGTATATCGAGATTTGTAAATCATCTAAATTGCAGAGTAATGTTTTAGAATACCGCTTAAGGGATTGACATTAAAGCTTTTTTTAAAAAAAGAAATGCAATAATTTCCTCAAATCCTCCCTCATTAGACTTCTACTAACTATAGTGCTGACTTTTTTTTTTTTTTTTTTGCCTTAAAGTCTGTGAATTCCAAAGAAATGCATCACCATTTCCCCCATTATTATAGCCACCTGGAAGCAGTGTTCCTGTATAAGATCAAAAACTCAACAATGAATTATGAAATTTTGTTTCATGGTATGCATGTTGACATGAACTTACAGAAAAGAGAGAAGGGAGGCTCCTTTTTTTTATTTAAAGAGAGAGGGAATTTTTATTTTTTGGTTACATTCTTTTACTTGGGTTAAATCAATCTCCATGATAGAGTTTAAAAATATTCCTAGATAATCAAACTGTCATTACTTCTCTTATTGAATGATTTTTCTTTTTTTTTCTACTCTTCCATATCAAATCAGAATCTTTGGAAGAACTTCCAGAAACAAGTGGGAAAACAACCCGGCGATTCTTCTTTAATTTAAGTTCTGTCCCCACGGAGGAGTTCATCACCTCAGCAGAACTTCAGGTTTTTCGGGAACAGATGCAGGAAGCTTTGGGAGACAATAGCAGTTTCCATCACCGAATTAATATTTATGAAATTATAAAACCTGCAACAGCCAACTCGAAATTCCCCGTGACCAGACTTTTGGACACTAGGCTGGTGAATCAGAATGCAAGCAGGTGGGAAAGTTTTGACGTCACCCCCGCTGTGATGAGGTGGACTGCACAAGGACACACCAACCATGGCTTCGTGGTGGAAGTGACCCACTTAGAGGAGAAACAAGGTGTCTCCAAGAGACACGTGAGGATTAGCAGGTCTTTGCACCAAGATGAACACAGCTGGTCACAGATAAGGCCATTGCTGGTGACTTTTGGCCACGATGGGAAAGGGCATCCCCTGCACAAAAGAGAAAAGCGTCAAGTGAAACACAAACAGCGGAAACGCCTTAAGTCCAGCTGTAAGAGACACCCTTTGTACGTGGACTTCAGCGACGTGGGGTGGAATGACTGGATTGTGGCCCCTCCGGGGTATCATGCCTTTTACTGCCACGGAGAATGCCCTTTTCCTCTAGCTGATCACCTGAACTCCACTAATCACGCCATTGTTCAGACGTTGGTCAACTCGGTTAACTCTAAGATTCCTAAGGCGTGCTGTGTCCCAACAGAACTCAGCGCCATCTCCATGCTGTACCTTGATGAAAATGAAAAGGTTGTATTAAAGAACTATCAGGACATGGTTGTGGAGGGTTGTGGGTGTCGTTAGCACAGCATTATTAAATAAAGAAATAAATATATATATATATATATATTTTAGAAAAAAGAAAAAAAACCCAAACAAACAAACAAAAAAAGAACTCTTCCAGTTGACACTTTAATATTTCCCAATGAAGACTTTTATTTATGGAATGGAATGGAAAAAAAAAAAAACAGCTATTTTGAAAATATATTTATATCTACAAAAAGAAGTTGGGAAAACAAATATTTTAATCAGAGAATTATTCCTTTAAAGATTTAAAATGTATTTAGTTGTACATTTTATATGGGTTCAACCCCAGCACATGAAGTATAATGGTCAGATTTATTTTGTATTTATTTACTATTATAACCACTTTTTAGGAAAAATAGCTAATTTGTATTTATATGTAATCAAAAGAAGTATCGGGTTTGTACATAATTTTCCAAAAATTGTAGTTGTTTTCAGTTGTGTTATATTTAAGATGAAAAGTCTACATGGAAGGTTACTCTGGCAAAGTGCTTAGCACATTTGCTTTTTTTTTTTTTTTTTTTGCAGCGCTACTGTTAAGTTCACAAGTTCAAGTCCAGAAAAAAAAAAGTGGATAATCCACTCTGCTGACTTTCAAGATTATTATATTATTCGATTCTCAGGAATGTTGCAGAGTGGTTGTCCAATCCATGAGAATTTACATCCTTATTAGGTGGAATATTTGGATAAGAATCAGACATTGCTGATCTAATATAGAACCTGCCCCCGCCCCTTAATTTGCAGAAAGAATAAAGCAGGATCAATAGAAATTACAAGGAAAATGAAGAACCAGCAGGAAAGTGAATGATGGTTTGCTGTTCTTTCCTAAACTAGTGAAACATTTGAAGGGGCTGATCTGGCCAAAGTATTAAATAAAACATAAAATTTCTTCATTATTGATACTGTGGTCATGTATATTTAAAATTGATATCTCGTGGCCCTCAACAAGAGTTGGAAATCAATTTGTATTTTACCTTTACCTCATCTAGGAGCTTATTATTCTCCAAAGGACCCAATTTTCTAACTTGCCCAATACACAGCAAAACTGTGCACATCATGTTTTCTGCCCACCCTCTGTTCTCTGACTGATCAGTTTGCTTTTCTTTCCAGGGTTATGTGTTTGAACACATTCCTCCCAATGTTCAACCTATTTCAGATAATAAATATCAAAGCTTTGGCATTTCGTTCTATAAAATCCAACCTGTGAGAGAAAATGGTGCATTTGTACAGTGCTCACAATGATTACCTTGTGTTTGCGTTTTTGTTTCTAAAGTTACATATTTTAGAGGAGGGTGGGGGGAAAGGCGAGGAATGGTTGGAAAATTGTAAGCTAGTCACTTGGTAAGTCGTGTTTGGATCAAAGGTATTCCTGATGATTTAGTATTTTTTGTATGAAACTCTTTGGGGTGGAAAGATTTAAGGGAAAACTAAAGCCTACAAAACGAGCAAAACCTGGGGAACCCAAGATAAAGTTTCAGAGATAATATGCCATGCACCAGAGGCAACGGTGCCAAAAAATTAGAAAGGGAAAGTGTCTGAGATCAGCTTCTACAGGAACATCTGCCAATTGGACGAAGCCCAAACAGAATGAAGAGTCAAATTAGGCTGCTCACAATGAACACTTACCAGTGTCAGAGTTTCTGTGCCCTGGGTTGTTACCAGCCAAGGAAGGGTCAGGGGATATATCTGTAAGACCAGGGAACCCACAACTCCTTACCATGTTACTGATGATTTGGTGTCATTTTCAGTCCCCTCTCAGCCTGCCATGATTGGTGAAACATAGTTCTAATCTCTTTTCCTAGGCCCTGCTTTAGAATTGGCTTACAAATTAGTGTTTGTAATGGATCAGACTGTTATAATCAAATTCTTCCCATGAATTAACTTTTGATGACCATGAACATACTTACATTTTGGAGGTTATGAGGTTACATATAGCTTATCTTTAAATGTATTCTATAGTTATTTTTTTTTTACTGATACTAGTTAATGTCTAAAATCTTTTAGCTTCTTTTTCACTTGGCTGTTATTGCTCTTGGGTAGGTGAGAATCATTAGATTAGACTCAACTATGGAAGGTGAGGAGTCTTCTTTGTTTTCCAGCCAATCTTCACCCCCTCTTGCCATGGAGATGAGGGGCAAACCCCAGAGTCATAGCTTCTTAAAACAATAACCCATGTTTTCTCATCTTCAAATTCCCTAGATGAGGCTGTGAGAATATAACCCAAGAACTTCATGCTGTAGCAGTTTCATCTATCCTTTTGCTTCCTTTACTTCATAGCTTCTGATTTTTTTGGTTAAAATTGTTTTCAATGGCATCAACTCAAATGCATTCTCTTGCAATATATATATATATATATATATATATAGCAATGTGTGTGTATAAATATATATGATGATATATATAATATATATTATGTATGCATAGATGGCATTTTCAGTATCAGTTTAGTTTCAGAGGTTTTATAATAACTGGGGACTTTGACCCTCTTGGCAGCTCACTTGAGAAACAGTATTTTTACATATATTCTCCATTCTTACAGACATTTTGGCTCACATTCTTCATTCTGAGGAATAAAGAGTCATAACTAACTGCATGACATTGAATTTCTTGCATTTCAGTCACTATTCCGTAGGATATTTTCAATTGTTTTAGAGTTGGCATTTTTAAAAAAATCACTGTGTCATCATTTCTTAATTTGGGGGTCTCACCTTTCAAAATTGATTACGTTGATCATGCGTTTTTGTGCTTTTCTTGGCTGCACGTGCCTCCCTGGTGTGGTTTTAACCTGTGTGGCACATCCTCGTTGCTCTGTTAACTTTTTGGCTTCAAAAATTGGAAATAGGGAGGGGAGTGGGTTTATAGATCTATCTGTGCTTCTCTCTCTTTATATTTCTACTCCATTCACTGCTTTAAATTGTACTTCAAGAGGCAAAGCATGGAGAGATCTGTAAATCTGGTCTGTATAACCAACTACATAATCACTAGATAACCTAGGTGGTCTGTTTTTCTTCCCCTCAATTTTTTATTGGAGGAGGAAAATTATGTGTGCAATTCAAAGCACTTTAAAAAAATAGCATATTTCTATTCTACTGGCATATTAACATTAAGATATTGATTCACCGAATGTTTATATGCTACAGCCTTCTCATCTGTTATAAGGCAGAAAGAACCTAGCCTTGCATTAAAAAATAATTATAAAGTCTAGAGTAATTGTGACATGGATTGGCAATCCAAAGAAGTAAGAATGTCCTGGCACTATTCCTTTTCTATCTGAATTTTAGCAGGGGACGGGCATGGTAAAATGGGGGATAAAAGGCAAGTCTGCTCCACTCAGGTAAATTGCCTTTCCTTTTTCCTCTACCCTGCTGACATAAATTACAGCCTTATGGTATTCTCCAGGGCAGAATTTTCTGACCATTTCCCTGCCCTGCAAACTTCAAAGTGAATGTCTACGTAACTTTGGGGACCAATGCTCTAAATAAAACTTCTTAGATTTTTAATGTGCATCCGAATCACTAGTAATGCCTTAAGGAGAATGAAACTTTAATGTGTATACAGACCCCCTGGAATCATGTTCTATTATGGATTCTGTTTCAGTGGGTCTGGGCTCTGGGCTCTGAGATCCTGCATTTCTAACAGGCTCCCAGGTGAAACCCTTACTGCTGGCTGGAGGACCGTAGTTCAAGTAGCAAGGCTCTAATGAATGCCTTCTTAATCCTAACTGCAAAAGTTGGACCAAGTTTAGGCTCCTCTCTAAAAAGCAGCACTTAAAAATACATAAAACCAAACCTGTATAGAGAATGGCGTCTGAATACAGTTCACCATATCTGAAATGATGCCCTACATATTTTTTTTTTTTTTCAAAAGCATTCTTTTCCCCCACAAGATGACTGGCAATTTTGTGTTCTAGCCACCCTCAGACATGAAAACACTTGGTTGCTTATCTTGTAAAATCTGCTCCGCTTGCTTGCTTGGGCATGTATGCAGTCAGTTTCGTCAAATACGTGTCAGTACATCTATGTGGATGGGGGAGCAGGTGCAAGCCCTTAAAAACGTACTTTAAAAAAGTTTAACACTTAAGTCAGTCCACTGAGTTGATCCTGTGTGATCTTAGTGCCAAGCGTCTGAGTTAAAAGTTTTCCCTTTGAAGGCAGCAAATAGATGTCATACATTTGAAGCATTTGTTTATACAAAAAAATGATGCTTGATTTTTTTTTTTTTTAAGTTCTAAGACGGTTCACTGTACAGCACCATTGAGCCTACATGGTGGTATAAAGCTTCCAAAGCTGGTATTTGAGGTTTGATTTAATGGATATTGGAATTTTCAATGCTGCGGTTGGCTTCGAATAAGGTGCTTAAAATGGGCTCAGGCTAGAAAAAGCAAAAGGAATTGATTTCTCTCTGAAAAAAGGTGACAGCAAAGAAATAACTTTCTGTCCTTGCTTGGTCCTGGCAACTCATTTTTTTTTTTTTTTTTTTTTTTTGAGAAATGCCCTATGAGGGTCATCTGTTTAGCATCTCGGTGCTTTATAGAAGCACTTTGAAGATTTCTTACAAACATTTCAGATTTGAATATTTTGTTGAAGAAATGCTGGAATGAGTGAATTCCTAATCTCAAGCATACCCTCTGTTGTGTGTGTGTATATATGCATATATATGTGTGTGTGTTTGTGTCTGCATCTCATATATGTGTATGTGTGATTAGTTCCTGTCTGGAATCCAGATTATGAATATAGGGTGCCTAACTTTTTTTCATTGACTCTATCATTTTGTTTAGGTCTCTAAATTTTGAGTTGAGTTCTTTTGAGGTGCTTAAGCAGGACTAAGCCAGAAACTGACTTTAACACCACTTAAAAGCTTGTGTTTGCCCCGCGCCCAGGGCCCCACTCCCAGGGCCCCACTCCCAGGCATTGCCAGGAGTACATTATTGTGGCGGTCCATTCTGATGAGGAGGTCTCTAAGCAAACCACGGATCTGCCTAAAGCTTCCCTCGTACGGAGCAAGATCTCATCTGGACTGCATTTACACTGGAACTGCTTGGCCACCACACTATGAGAGAATAATTATTGAACTATTTTACTGTACAACTATTTCCAAATTGTTGATTTTTTATTGATTTCAGGAGGCAAGCTAATTGCCCCATGGCAACTTGATGTTAACGTTTAATGAAGATCAGGAAACAGAGTTTATGAAAAGCTTTTGTATAGTAACTGCAAAGTTTCAAGAACTGTTTTATACTTCCTGACAGTGCTGGGCCTAGCTTAATGGTTTGTTTTTATTGCTTAAGAGTGTAAACCTTGCTCTAGCCCGGTGTGTGGAAACTATACCCTCATCCCGCATTACACATTTTCTCATTGCTTTGCACTCACTGCTGACTTCCTTTCCTGCCATCTACAATTGAGACTTTTTCTGTTTTAATTGTCTGAAAATGAGTTTCTATATTTGCAGGCTGAGAATCTTACACACACACACACACACACACACACACACACACGTACACACGCACACTCATGAAGTTAAGTGTCTGTATTGTTTCACTTTGTTTTGGGTGGAGTTTCTTTTCAGCACTTGGTTGCTAGACGACCAAGCAGACAAAAGTTAAAGATTGAAAAGGCATTTTTTTTTTAAAGATGCCAAATCTTGGCGGCTGAACTATTTTATCTCTGTCTTTATGTGGAAGGCTTAGTATTCTTACCAGGTTACCCGTGCCTTTTGTTGGGTAGATGGCTGGTAGAGGATTTTTTTGAAGCCTAGCTCTTAAGGCATTATCTGTTTGAGAACTTTCTTAAGTGTTGTTCTCCCATTTGCTGGAACACACTTCCCACCTGAATTGACAAAAAAAAAAAAAAAAAAAAAAAGCCAGCTTAGTTTCCAAGGGTGTGTTTTAAATCACTAATAAAGTTGAGCTCCAGCTCCCAGCTGCCTCAATTGTTTCAAGGCAGAGACGTAGAGAAAGGACTGCTTTTTGAGGCAACGTTCTGAAATACAAGCTTACGTGCATGGTGAGTAGTCTCCAGGAAGCTACCTCTGCTTTTTTGGTGGATAGTACTGGAAATGTTTTGAAAAAATTTTTAAAAGCCTAATTTTAAATCAAAGTCATTTGCTCCTTTCAGTAAGATACTTCAGGAGCATGTTATAAATACACGATCTTTATAGATCTGCCAAGTTGGACGTGTGTTCACAAGTTCATCTTGCATGTGTACGCAATTTGTAG